AGACCGAAATGATTCTACATCTACTACTATTACTCCACACGTCGACCGACTCCTGCCTGCCTAGAGTATTAAGTTCATAAGAACACATTAAGCAAAATGACATGATGTAGAGGAATTAAATCAAGCAATATAATGAAAAACCCATCTTTTTATCCTCGATGGTAACAATGCAATACGTGTCTCGCTACCCCTACTTTGTCACTGGGTGAAATCACGCAAGATTGAACCCAAAGCTAAGCACCTCTCCCATTGCAAGAAATATCAATCTAGTTGGCCAAACCAAACCGATAATTTGAAGAGAAATACAAAGATACCAAATCATGCATATAAGAATTCTGAGGAGATTCAAATAATATTCATAGATAAGCTGATCATAAATGCACAATACATCGGATCTCGACAAACACACCGCAAAAGAGTATTACATCCGAAGATCTCCAAGAACATCGAGGAGAACATGGTATTGAGAATCAAAGAGAGAGAAGAAGCCATCTAGCTACTAGCTATGGACCCGTAGGTCTGAGGTGGACTACTCATGCTTCATCGGAAGGGCAATAGAGTTGATGTAGATGCCCTCCGTGATCGAATCCCCCTCCGGCAAGATGCCAGAAAAGGCCCCAAGATGGGATCTAGCATGAACAAAAGGTTGCGCGGTGGAAAAGTGTTTTCGTGGATGCTTTTGAGGGTTTGGGAATATATGTGAATATATAGGAGGAAGATCTAGGTCAGGGGGTCACCGAGGGGCCCACAAGGTAGGGGGCGCGCCCTACCCCCCTGGGCATGCCCTCCACCCTTGCCGCCTTATCGTGGCTCTTCTAACTTGCACTCCAAGTCTCCTGGGTGTCTCCTGGTAGAAAAATCATCGTAAAGTTTTATTCCGTTTGGACTCCGTTTAGTATTCCTTTTCTGCGGAACTCAAAAACAAGGAAAAAATAGAAACTGGCACTAGGCTCTAGGTTAATAGATAAGTCCCAAAAATAATATAAAATAGCATATTAATGCATATAAAACATCCAAACAGATATAATAGCATGGAACAATCAAAAATTATAGATACATTGGAGACGTATCACGCCACGGCCAACATATCTCTCAGTTGGGCAGACACAGGGCCTTCTCGCAATGGGGCCGCACTGCCCATCTTCATGGCTTTCTTCGGCCAACCCTGGAGGAACAAGAAACAAGGAATTGGGAACCGTAATGGAAATGCGAATATCTAAAGCATAAGGGAGAATGGTATCACGTTACCTCCTTGGGAGGGTGTTCCGTGTCAAGGCCGACGTCCTCCTTATCGACATGCCAAGTCTCTTGTGGCTTGAACAATGCTCTCCACAACTTCTCGCGAGTAGTGCCATGGAAATATTGCACGGAGCGGGGGTCTTCGGGCTTCCAAGACCACATCGGGGTGGTACGAAGTTGGCAGGGTAGCATACTGCGATGGAGCATGATCTGGACCACATTGGTCAGTGTGACCCCCGCCTCTATCATGTTAGTAACACGCTTTTGCAGTGCCTTCACCTCGGTGACAGGCTCCTAGTCGAGGCCCTTTCTAGTCCACGAACTTAACCTCGCGGGGGATCCGGATCTGAAATTCGGAATATCTGCCCACTTCACCTCGCGGGGCTCTATGATATAGAACCACTCTTTCTGCCAGATATTGATCGTGTCTACAAAACACACCCTCCGGCCAGCCGAGTCGGGTGAGCCTGCTCATCATGGCACCTCCGCGATTCAAATGCTGGCCGTCGACGATCTTTGGCTTAACATCATGGCTGGACCCAGAGGAATGCCTCGTAGATGATGATCAAGGCTGAGATGTGAAGGAAAGAATTCTGAGCCAGGTCATGGAAGTCCAACCTGTAGTAGAACATCAACCCTCGGACGAACGGGTGGAGGGGGAAACCCAGCCCCAGGATGAAGTGGGGGACGAACAATACCCGTTCGCCGGCACGGGGCATCGGCACGACCTGGCCCTCCTCTAGGGCCCGATGGGCGATGTTCAGGAAGAGGAGGCCTGCTCGCTTCAGATCCTCGATGTTGTTGTTGGTGACGCACGAGGCCTCCTACTTGCCCTTCGCTCCAGATCCGGCCATTGCCAAACTTGACTTTATGGAAAGATGGGTTGGTGCACTTGAGCTCTATAGATTGGGAAAGGCCGTGGAGAGAGGAAGAAGAAGGTGTACGGGGACAATCGTGACTGCTTCCTTTTATATGCAGTCGTAATACCGAGAGTCCTGTAAATGCGCCGCCCACCTCGCCTCTTCCCGATAAACTCGTGGCGTTATGTGTGAGTGGGATACTGTGAATCATTGATCAAATCCCTTAAAAAATGTAACATGGTCTCCACCTTGAAGGGACATGTCATCAAAGGAGCGGCCTCGAATCGCGTATCGAGTCTTCATGTTTATGACCGGACGCGACCCTTCGCCTAAAGTTGTCAGTCAAAGATATTGTTTGCATTTGAGTGATTGGCCTTCAAGGCTAAGAAAAGCAGATAGTTCGGAATCCGGATACGACTCGGCGTATGGCCGAACATAATCAAGTACCATTCGAAGGAGGAGAATCATTCCAAGTACTCGGGAAAAAGGAACTCGCATGCAAGCCGGAGCCTGCAGGCTTAGGAGTTATAAGAAGCCGACGTTGAAGGCTAGTTCGGGGGCTACTGAGGGAGTCCTAGATTAGGGGGTCCTTGGGAGGTTGGCCTATCTCTTATGGGCCGAACTGCTGGGCCGCACCGTATCCGGACCGAAAACGTTTTGTGCCTTGGAGTGTACCCCAAGTCAAGATGGAAGATCCGATGTTTCCTTCATGTAACCGACTATTTGTAAACCCTAATACCCCTGGTATCTATATAAACTAGGGGGCTTAGTCCGTAGAGACTAGAAGAACATAGGGTTTAGTTTGTCTGATCTCGTGGTAGATCTACTCTGTAACCCCCTTCTACACAAGCAATATAATCAAGCAGGACATAGGGTTTTACCTCTTAGAGAGGGCCCAAACCTGGGTAAACATCGTGTCCCACGTCCACCGTCCCCCATCGATCCAAGGTCCACAGTTCGGGACCCCCTACCCGAGATCTGTCGGTTTTGACACCAACAAGAGGGCCCTGAGAGGAACAACCAGCGGGTTCAGCAGGACGAGTACTTCAGCAAGGTTATGCCGGCTGCTCAGATATACGGGAAGAAGTGTAACAGGGAGTCAGTTCTAGAAGATCTTGATTAGATTCTGCATTTTTTATCTCCTTGGAATGCCGAGCTGTAAGTGTAAAAACGACAAGCTCCCTGTTAATTAGAAGGAATGCCTTTGCTGCTTTACGCTTATGTTATTATTTTGACTCGGTCGTGATCGTTGAAATGTGTAGTTGGCCCGTCGCCGGCTCCCACCCCTTAGTAGAAACTACTTCGGGTGTTTCATTTACTGATTGCAACCCTTAGCCGACGTCTCGGTGCCCGGAGGCGATTATATATCAGTGGAAACAAGGCGATTAGACCTTTAGGGCTAAATCATACACTTAGTCATAGGAGCTTTAGGTGCGGGGCGCAAGTTAATGGCCCTGGGTGTATATCGAGTCCACGGATCGTCCGAGGTCAAGCCACCCACACTTCGGCCCTTTCAAAAAAAGGAGGCCTTCGTTTTACATGGTTAGTCGCCATCGGCTATTTAGTTTAACACTGCATACAGTTTGACGACCAATTTACGCGTGTTGTGACTGTCAATTTTCGGCTTTCTCCATACAATTGTGCTTCCTTTACACCCTTAGCTGAACAAAGCGGAAACGTAAGGGGTAAGCACAAGAGTCGGGCAACCCGACTATTGACCAAAGACACAAGTCAAAATTGATGCATATACACGAAATACCGAGGATGTTTTGCCGAGGACTCCATGGAGTACCTTGGCTTCTAGTGGGTTCGGCTCCGGTCGTAACCCCCCGTTTAACATTGCCGATGCTTAAAGTCGTCCTAGCATTGTATTGTAAGATGTATGCTCGACGCTTTTTTGAAAAGAGAGAAAGGATGCACCATGAGTGTTTGCGCTGCCCGAAGATTCGGGCAGCTCTTTATTCAAATATTCAAAAAGGCTTATTAGAAAGACACGAGTGGCGGTGGGTGAGCGGAATTAAAGGGATGGGCGTGTTCAACAAAGAGAGGGTGTGCATTTTTGTGAGAGAGACTTACGAGGTAGAGAGACGATTTATAACCTTGAAGGAGGGAAAGAAATAGATGGAGTGTGTGTGTATGATGGAGATGCCCATGGAGAAAGGAGATTTGTATGTGTGTGCGAGAGAGTGCACAATTCATTCACGTGCTATCTCCCGGTCGATGACGTGCCTCGCTTCTATAAGATTGGACACTCACATATCACATAAGTATAAGTTATAGTGTTTCTTTTTCTTCAAACAAGTTATTGTGATTTTTTTTCTTTCAAACAGGCTTGTTTCTTCAAACAACTACTGTAGTTATCATGTACATGCACGATTTAAATTCATTTGATTTGGATGATTTAAGGTTCTATTATGAAGTAATATACATAATAATTCATATTTGATTCAACGGGCACTGTAATTTATGAAATGAAAGCCATGTAATCATATGGACTATAATATTCATATTTTTTAAAGATCTATAATATCCATTTGGTATTGTATAATATATTTAAAATTAACACGTCAATGCATTATGTTTGAAATAAATATACATTGGCACAACATAATATATTTTTATGAGAAATACATAAGCCAAGTGTTTGCTCCGTTGTTTATGTACACGCCTCAGTGACACCCTATGATCGGCCTCACGCCCGTGTGATCGTAACAAGTTACTAGAATACCAGGATGCAAAAGCCTGAACCTTATGAGGGGGATTCCTGCAAACACGCACAGAGAGGATGGTGCACACAAAGGCAGTCATCTTCCATGCCTAGCCACTTGGACGACAACAGCCGAGGACTAAACATCCAGATGAGCTCCGTGCCATATCGTCCACGTTCTCTGAACCCAGTTGCTACTGCCTGCCCAAGCCAAGTCCTGGCCCTATCATCTGCCCTTGCATTGCAACCATCACAGCACCTTCGCGTTGCATCTCTTGGATGAGTTGCTCGAGTCGTGGAGTTCGCTGAACCACAAAACCAAACAATGCCCCTGTAGGAGCAGCAAAGCCTGAGTGGACCTGTACGTGGTTTGCAGACACTGTGGCAGCTGCGGTAGGAGCTGAAGTTGTAGGACATGGAGTGTTGGGTGAAGCTGTAGGAGTTGTTGCTGGACTTGCCGTAGTGGGATTTTGTTCCTGCTCCATGCCTTGCATCTCCGCTTCCTCAGAAGCTTCGAGTCCAGCATCCATGTTTAACCCTTCTCCCACACTGAAATGTGAAGCCTGCTGTTTTCCCTTCTCCTGTGCACAATGTCCTTTGCCATGTTGTTCCTCTTCCACTACGGGAACCTTGTCGTTTCTGCACTTAAATACCGCCCACAGGTAGGGTTTTCCTTGGAAAGCTGCAAGCAAAAAAATAAAACATGGTAAGCCATTTAACCCATGAGCCAAATATATACAGTACGGAAAGGCTTACATAGTGGTTGTGGAGAATTGAATTATTTCTAAACGATGGTTAGTACGACTACGTATGGATAGGGATGCCACTAGAAATCAGGTGCAGCAATCATATTCTTTTGCTTGAATGTTTCCAGAAAAGAGAAGAATGCATACTTTGGTGTTGCTCAGGCAGTAGAATAGATGGGAATATCAGCATCTCAGCTTCACCAACAATAGCTCGCAGGACCATATCATTCTCCATGACTTCTTTAACAAGTTGTTCCAGGTCTGCATCTTGCCTAGGTTTAGAAACAAGAATGGTTACAATCCAACGGGTGCAAAAGATGCTAGGCAAATAAATAGCAAAGGGTAAAAAAAACACCTCATCTCGGTGGGCAACAAATACAACGCAATGTTGTCATCAGTGGGCCTTGATGCCTCAAAGCTCTTAGGCCAAGCCTCCAGTCTAGAAAGCTTTGTTACTTCAACCACAGCCTCAAGTGATCGTGACAATTTCCACACCTTCTCACAGTATTTGGTTGACAAATGTGCAGCCAATGAAACAAATTTTCCACTGCCTATCTTAATGATTCCACTGTTGAATAATAAAACACAAAAATATCAGCATATAGGGACGAGAATTTGCAATGCATGAAATTGGAGAGAAAAGTGTATGTTCTACCTCCAAATAGGTTCATCGATGGGCAGGGAACAATACTGATAGGGCTTCGAAGATTCTAAACCAAATAGATTAGAGACTTCTGGATGACAATCCTTCTGTCTTGTCAATCCAGCAGCACCAGTTTTACCACTAGTGAGATTCTGATCACCATCATCATCGGCTTCATCATCAGATACTACGTATCTTCTCCTTTTGTTTGTTTGACTATAATTATCAGTCCTCTTCATCTTATTAAACTTTTCATCAACGGTTCTTTCATCCTCCCCGAGGCTAGAGTTCTTAGTGGAGATGCCCATTGATTTTGTCAGTTTAGCGACCCCACGTTTCTCAAACTTCTCTTCCAATAACGGCTTCATCCTCTTACTCTTAGATTTGTACACATCGGTTCTTCCATCCTCCGCAAGGCTAGTCTTGCACTTTCTACTATCAAGTTGAATGCACCGGTCCATTGGATCGGCCATGCATGATGGCTCGACCGTTTGGTGACTCAAAAGGTTCTTACCAGGTAAAGAAACACAATTGATCTCCAAGTTGGTATGGATATCTTCCATGACTTCTTTACCCTTCATCAAAGCTAAGTTGGAATTTGAAGCTTCCCTCGCCATCCGATGGTCTTCATTCCGTGAGTTGGGAAGCATCGAAGAGGGGTATGCTTTCTTTGAAATACCAAATGTGGAATTTGAATCATCCTTTAACACTGCGGAATATTGATCCCTAGTTGAAGAGGGCTTAGACTTCTCTATGTTCCTCGTCAAAGGACCGGGCCCACTATTCGACCCAGAGGAGAAGGGCCTAGATTTCATTGACTGAGGAGCTATCTCATTGTTGGACCTTGAGTAAGAGGATTTATTCTTTGACCGAGGAGCTTCAATGTTATTTAACCTTGAGGAAGACTCCACATTCTTCACCGGAGAGCCCATGCCATTGTTGGGCCCTAAGGTATTACCATTATTCAACATAAAGAAAGATGGTCTACAGTTGGTAGCATTCTTTTGCAGAGAATCAATGCCACTTTTAGGCATTGCGCAAGATGGACTAGCCTTCTGGGTATTCTTTTGGAGAGTCCTAGAGAAAGAGGGTTTGGACTTCTCAACATTTCCCCGTGGAGAACTCGTACCTTTCTTTGGCCATGAAGAACGTGCCGGGACATTTTGTCGAGACACTGCCTTAGCATGGCTAGGCTCCTCACAAGGAAATTGGGGTGTTTTTTTTGTTGCAACATTATTTTGTTGAGGTCTTCTGATAACATTATCATCACCTCTTTCATTAGCATGGTTATACGCTACCCTAAACGACTGTTGAGTTCTCTGCAATTGTTGAAGGCACTTTTTCTTGAGTTTGCCTGGTGCCTTGCCTATGGATGGCTTTCTCAAGATTGGACCAAAGTGGTTGACACTATGTTGTCTTCGACTCCCCATTTTTCTTTGAATAGTCACTACAAAAATTGAAGAAAATGTGTAAAATATACTTTCTAAACACAGAAGAAACTTGTCAGCTAACTTTTACCACAAAAGACAACGCTAACTTTTTAATAGTGCCAATCTAATGGCAGCATAGTTAAAGTGGTGAAGTGGGCTCCATTATATAAGATAGACCAAGTTTTGTCACATCAACACATTTTGCACCATGTATACCAAAGTGTGAATCTTTATAACAATAGGCCCCACAAAAGTTGCACTTTTTCACAATAGGATTTTGTGATTCACAAGAAAGAGCCTAGTTTGACAACTTGGATTCATCTATTATTAACCATGTGTTGTCTTAGGTGCACACATTTGAGGAATGATCTCTATCTAATCTACTAACCATGACTTGTCATGGGTGCACACGCTTGAGGAATGATCTATCTAATGTCTTTTTAGTCATTCATTTTGGCCCTATTAAATGCGTGGGGCTTAGCGATGCAAAAAAGGAGATATTTGATGACATGAAAGTACAAATACAAGTATGATATATTTTACATATATATTTATTATTAAATAAGTAACACAAAGAGGACATAATTGTCCAAAGTTGCATTCTTAGAACATAGATTGTTTTCCCTTCATGGTATCCATATGAACCAACCCTTTAGTTTATATCTGACTAATTTTAGAAAACCCTACTCATGCTAGAGATTAAATATTAAAAGTAAGTCCTATTTGCATCCAATAATTATTTGGTTTTAGTTTTTTGCTACCAATCTATGTAATGTTCTCATGGCTGGGAAGGGTACACATATATATTTCCCTAAGACCCCTCCAAACTAGCAAATCAGTTCCACAAGTGCCTCCTTTCTACACCCTCCTTTAGAAGCACAATTAACTACCTATGCCTTCACCCTTATCATCGATTTGACACCTTACTTGTTTTTATGACCCCACCCGCTACTTCACAACTACGAACCAACCTATAGTTGCCACGCCATCGACTGTTGCCATAAACCCAGCCTCCCGTAGGGCACAATATGACAACGAATTACATGCAAAGCACCTCGAATTCAAGTGATGCAAGAGAGTTTTATGGTCAAGAATGGAAAGATTCTCCTAGCAAAACAATGAATTTCTACGGAAGATTTTACTTCTTTACTAATGCCAATCTCAGTTGCATGGCAAATTTAGAGCATTTGGAAGAATTGCTCTCAATACAATATCTACACATCAATGTCCAACCATAAGTGCTCTCCAAAACTTTCGCAAATATAAAGGACGAACTGAATGTGCCTTCATTTATGGAAACCACAATTTTAGCTGCTTGGGCTATTTGGATCACGCAGAACAATAAAATTTTCAAGCATGGTGATCAAACTCTATTTAAGTGGAAGGATTTTTTCAGTGAGCTAAATTTAGACAATGGATCAAGAAGAGATAGTTTTAGGCCTTTTTCATTTCATTTTTTTGGCTTTGCTCAAACCTTGTAATGATTTTTTTAATTATTTATAAAAATTGCATTGGGGTTTCACCCTACTACCTCCGTCTAGGTGAATAAGTCATTCGTGTATCGATTTGAGGAATTAAATGCGTGTTATATGTCATGAAAAGTATATCACTAGATTTCTACACGGGTGTAGTTTCTAAATATATATTTCTTGTCACATACTCCCTTCGTTCCTAAATATTTGTCTTTCTAGAGATTTCAACAAGTGACTACATACGAAGCAAAATGAGTGCATCACACTCTAAAGTATGTCTAATTCACCAAGACGGAGGTAGTACTATTTTCCTTCCCAAATAAAAAAATATAACATCTACTCATAGAGCATAAGACATTAATTAGAAGTAATTCATGTTGAGAGGAGAGGTTCAAGACCATGGTCCATCCGAACCCATGGTCAGTTCGATCTAGTACTGCTCTTTGGATTCGGGGCTGGTTAACATTCAAATTTCTCAGTTTAGTTCCTTGTCTCGAAGCTTTAGCCTTCTTGAACAGGATGGACTGGCATGCACATATCGACGTCAAGCATAGGTTCGGCTGAGCCATGGTCCTGCTAAATATTTTGAATTCATGTTTCGCCGGATCAATGGCAAATAAGCTAATCAACATGAATTAATGCATGCATGGCACCACATATATTATCCTTTTGAATTTACACTTTGATTCCTTCTTTAAGTTCCTATTTCTAGGGTTAGTTTCCTTCTATGCACCACCCCATCCGATTCTGCCCCGTTAAATTGGATCAATATTCAACAAAAGAGGCAGCACAAAACAGCATGCGTATGCAGCTGCGCATGGGAGGAACCAAACCAATGCCCTCGTTGGGTACCCGGGTATGGTTGGTTTTCCATCTTCTGTGGGATAGTTTAATTGGTTGATTTTGATCACCATCCAAAAATATCACAGACGTGTGCCATGAATCATATCCCATCTACTGTATTCGTCGCCTTCCCATGCACAATCAAGAGATCTGTATCCAACAGTCGGGGCTTATTTCTACATCCAATGCATCTACAAAATTGGGATCTGTTTGCCGCAATATGATCAATTCCAGTGCTCAGACGGCCACCCCACCACATCCCTAAGCGGAAATCTATTTACGCAACACAAACCGGACTAAATCGACTAAGAATTCCTCCAACAATCTTGGGCCATTACTCCTTCAAGCTTGAAAACAAAAATAGAGCACGAGCACAACCAAACACGCACTGATTTTGAATAGCAGCAAGATCATGAAGACAACCATACGACCATACTCTAAAAAGAACAGATCGGAAGTACCTGACGGCCGTCTGCTCCGGCGACGAAGGAACGGAGATAGCCTCTTGCACGCCCAACTCCCCTCCTCGAGATAAGAATCTGCACCTCCTGCACCCAGAACACGAACTCGCCAAGAACTCGCCTCTGGGAAACCCTAGAAAACCCCAACGCAAAGCAGAGGAGGGCGAGAGCTGGAGAGCACGAAACAGAGAGAGAAAAGCTGGTTGTGCGACGGAGGCCGGGCGCGGCCCTTGTACTTATAGACGTTGGGCGCTGGCTAAGAACGCGTCGGGAGGCAGGAGACCAGATTGGAAAAGAATCAGGAAACGGAAAAGCGAAGCAGAAGGAAGATTAAGATTACGACGGCTGCCGCGCGGTGGGAAGGGAACTTAGGCTGGTCATAGTGGGGAGTAACTTAGACTAGTAACATACATAGTATGTTACTAGTCTATGTTACTACCTTCATAGTAGGTAGTGTCATAGGTGTGGTAACATAATTGCCTTCATTTACTACTTTGTAGACTCATTATGCATTGGAAACCGCTATGTGATGGTAACATATTATGTTACTCTATTTGCCTCTCTCCTCATTAACTACTTGCCACATCATCATTTTTGCTTATGTGGCATCTATGTTACTACCTATGTTACTCCCACTATGACCAGCCTTAGGGAAGGCCATCGATATGTTTCCAATTATATTACGGCGCGGTTTTACCGCCTTGGCCCGTTGGGATTTCGAACGGGAATCGTGAGCGTTTGCGTCCGCTTCGCGATATCTGCGGGCTAGTGCGGCTTAATTTCGTGTTTTTACCCTTTTTCCATATAAATTCACGATCTGATCCCGGGTGGAAAAAAATTCGGGATTTGACCTTTTTTCTTACCGCTCGTGGTCCTGGCGGTCGGGTTACACAGCCTACCGTCAGAGACGCTGGCGGTAAGGTAGTAATCCACGTCAGCACGCGGAGACGCCCGCCGTCCCCCTCCGTCACACCCTACCACCAGGGGACCTGGCGGTCGCCTGTCTAACCCTACCGCCAGGACCCCTGGCGGTCGGGTCCGGTCAGTTATTTCAACCGAGAACGCGCGCCCCTCCCCCTCCCCCGTCGTTTGGTTATCTTTTCTTTCCCAAACTCGCCCCTCCCTCTCCCTCTCTCATCTCCTCCACTCTTCCCCTCGGATCTTCATCGTTTCTTCATCGTTTTTGCGGATCGAGATGACCCCAAAGAGAGAAACGTAAGCTCCTCCAATCCCTCCAATTAGTTTTTGCAAACTTGCTTTCGATTCAACGCATTTTTTCCTTCAAATCCCTCATATTTTTGAAATTAAGATTGTTTTAGCTTGGTTGTTTTAGCTTGATTGTAGTTGTAGTTCTTAGTTCTTTAGTAAGTAGTGGTATGATTGTAGTTGTAGTTCTTAGTTCTTAGTTCTTAGTTCTTAGTTATTAGTTCTTAGTTCTTTAGTAAGCATGTTAATATGGTGCAAGTAGTGGATTTGGTTGGAGTAAATATGATATGGTATGATTTTGCATTTGACACATCTTGATATATGTATTTTATTTATTTGACCCATATGTTTAGGTCTACAACAGTGGCGCAACCATCGCCCCTTCATCTTCAACATGACTCGTCCGGCTTGCCACTTCCGTACGTGTACGAGTCCTGCCCCGAGCTTCTGCTGCCGGTGACCGCTTTTTCAGACGAGTTCCTACAGGAGACGAGGGCAGTGCGGTGGCACGAGAGGGCAGAACGGAACTCCAATGATCAGAAGTGTTGGGCGCAGAGTGCGAAGGAGTGGAAGAGAGTGATTGCAGAGATGGAGGGAGATCCAACTATCTCCCAAGAACGCCGGGAATGGAACATTGAAGTTGCCAAGAAGCGCTCCAACTAGGAGCTGCGCAATTTGGGCCGGAGGATCTACTTCGAGAGCAATGCGGAGGAGAGAGCCAGGATGCCGCCCCCAAGTGCATCGCCGTTCGATATCATCAACTGGGCAAGGGCGGAGGCGAAAACTCCAGCGGGTAAGGCAAGGTGGGACTGCTTGAACGGTCAGATGCCGACCAGCTTTTCGCCTCCGCCTGAACCGGTGGATCCGCTGTCGTATCTGTCTCCACGGCCATGCCTAACATATGTGGGGGGAGATTTGTCTGCCCCATAAACATGTCGATTGCATATGTATCTCTGTTTTAGTAGGGGTTGTCAAACTATGTGGACAAGTTTGCTATTTGCTATTCCCTACCTATGAA